GGAACTGATTTCAATACATGCTTTGAAAGGCAGTGTTGGCACATCACTACATAGCTCAGCTTAAATGATCACTATTGATAAGTAGATGTTATTTATTACCAGTGCTTCACCTCTGCTTCGCAGAGGCTCGCACTGGCCCTACTATCTGTATGTCTTACTCATTCTCGCACAATAATGACATTGGAACTCACCCCGCTATGCGGACAATCACGAATGATTTGTAAACAACTATTCATTCCAAAAGCATTTCCATATGAGATCGGTAATTTCGCATGAACGAAACTTTTCTCGAAAGAAGAAGTGCAAATTTGAACTGGTTTTTGGACTTTTATGGCTTGAAATTCGCGATAAGATACCATAATCACCGTGGGCTACATACAGTCGATTCATTTCATATGATCACTAGCTGGCAAACCCGGCTCCGCCCGGCCCTGTCATTATTATATTCGTAATCAGCATGCTCGATTACCCCCCTGTGCCAACTCCCAGCCCCGTAGCTCAAATTTTGCAAAAAATCGGTAAAATCGATATCGATCGATAACGAAAAGTAGCCTATGACACGCTCCCTGCCCCGAAGTATATGTGTGCCAAGTTTGGTCCAAATCGGTTCAGAAATAAAAATTTCTATTCCGCACATACGTACATGCAGACAGACATACAGACATACATACACATATTCAACTTTATATATAAGATGTGTGTCATTGCACACACGGTCCATTTTTGGCGTTCCCATCCTGGATTCCTGGAGGAGGCAACCCTTTAGTTAAGTGCTTTTGATGTGTTCTCGATGTTTTCTTTGCTTCTTAGGTACTATTCACCTCAAAATGATGTAAGTGATAGCAAACTGTTACTCTCTTGTGTTTTTGCGATCGCAAATTCAGGATGAGAACGCCAAAGTGGACGATGTGTGCGGCTGCACGCACATGATCAAATGAAATGATTCGACTGTATCTGTGCAAAAACCTTCTCAAACGATTGATTAAATTCTTGGCAAATTGAACATTTACGCAACCAAACCAATTCTTTTTGGCGCCGTTTTCGCAAGCTAATAAACTTTAGTTCAATTTTCTAGGCTAAAGACCATGGCTTGCACATTAACTTGTCAAAAATATCCGTGAATTTGCAAAAAGTTGCGCTACAGACTCAATTTTACTGACCAAAAGCCAAGTGGATCCGGTTGACGCGCATTTTTTGAGGGATCCACACAATGGAACAGAACAGATTTAGCAGTCGTTGCAATTTCAACTACAGTATTCTGGCGCCATGTACAGGGTATTCGTGGCGGGACTTTTGTATGTCAGCCAGTTCGGAGACTTTGTCTCCAATCGTTTTCCGAGGGATCAAACTCGCTGATGAGGGCTTTTGTGCTTTATGGATCACAAAAGGAGCAAGTACAAGGATAGTGAAAGTTGGGTCTGGTATACGCACACTAAGACACTAACCTAGAGCGATGCCAGGGTCTAAAAAGACTACTCGTTTTCCAAGTCATTGCTATTTTATCTAGGTAGGAGCAAAGAGGTTTTGGACATGCTATCACTGATCAGACTTCCTGAAACACCTCACCTCTTTATGACGAGCGTTAATCGCATACAATATGGTTCAAAATTGTACTTGTAATTAGGTGAGATGATTACAGAACTGAATGAGTAATCAAGAAACTATTATAATAGCACTAGTTGGCACAAGGGGGTAATCGAGCATGCTGATTACAAATATATTATTCACAGGCCCGGGCGGGGCCGGGTTTGCCAACTAGTGCTATTATAATAGTTTCTTGATTACTCATTCAGTTCTGTAATCATCTCACCTAATTACAAGTACAATTTTGAACCATATTGTATGCGATTAACGCTCGTCATAAAGAGGTGAGGTGTTTCAGGAAGTCTGATCAGTGATAGCATGTCCAAAACCTCTTTGCTCCTACCTAGATAAAATAGCAATGACTTGGAAAACGAGTAGTCTTTTTAGACCCTGGCATCGCTCTAGGTTAGTGTCTTAGTGTGCGTATACCAGACCCAACTTTCACTATCCTTGTACTTGCTCCTTTTGTGATCCATAAAGCACAAAAGCCCTCATCAGCGAGTTTGATCCCTCGGAAAACGATTGGAGACAAAGTCTCCGAACTGGCTGACATACAAAAGTCCCGCCACGAATACCCTGTACATGGCGCCAGAATACTGTAGTTGAAATTGCAACGACTGCTAAATCTGTTCTGTTCCATTGTGTGGATCCCTCAAAAAATGCGCGTCAACCGGATCCACTTGGCTTTTGGTCAGTAAAATTGAGTCTGTAGCGCAACTTTTTGCAAATTCACGGATATTTTTGACAAGTTAATGTGCAAGCCATGGTCTTTAGCCTAGAAAATTGAACTAAAGTTTATTAGCTTGCGAAAACGGCGCCAAAAAGAATTGGTTTGGTTGCGTAAATGTTCAATTTGCCAAGAATTTAATCAATCGTTTGAGAAGGTTTTTGCACAGATACAGTCGAATCATTTCATTTGATCATGTGCGTGCAGCCGCACACATCGTCCACTTTGGCGTTCTCATCCTGAATTTGCGATCGCAAAAACACAAGAGAGTAACAGTTTGCTATCACTTACATCATTTTGAGGTGAATAGTACCTAAGAAGCAAAGAAAACATCGAGAACACATCAAAAGCACTTAACTAAAGGGTTGCCTCCTCCAGGAATCCAGGATGGGAACGCCAAAAATGGACCGTGTGTGCAATGACACACATCTTATATATAAAGTTGAATATGTGTATGTATGTCTGTATGTCTGTCTGCATGTACGTATGTGCGGAATAGAAATTTTTATTTCTGAACCGATTTGGACCAAACTTGGCACACATATACTTCGGGGCAGGGAGCGTGTCATAGGCTACTTTTCGTTATCGATCGATATCGATTTTACCGATTTATTTGCAAAATTTGAGCTACGGGGCTGGGAGTTGGCACAGGGGGGGTAATCGAGCATGCTGATTACGAATATAATAATGACAGGGCCGGGCGGAGCCGGGTTTGCCAGCTAGTGATCATATGAAATGAATCGACTGTATGTAGCCCACGGTGATTATGGTATCTTATCGCGAATTTCAAGCCATAAAAGTCCAAAAACCAGTTCAAATTTGCACTTCTTCTTTCGAGAAAAGTTTCGTTCATGCGAAATTACCGATCTCATATGGAAATGCTTTTGGAATGAATAGTTGTTTACAAATCATTCGTGATTGTCCGCATAGCGGGGTGAGTTCCAATGTCATTATTGTGCGAGAATGAGTAAGACATACAGATAGTAGGGCCAGTGCGAGCCTCTGCGAAGCAGAGGTGAAGCACTGGTAATAAATAACATCTACTTATCAATAGTGATCATTTAAGCTGAGCTATGTAGTGATGTGCCAACACTGCCTTTCAAAGCATGTATTGAAATCAGTTCCAGGCAGGCTGAGAAAGACATGATCACGTTGTTATCGCAAGAACTGTTTATTAAGTATAACAATAGCAGCAACAGCTGCTATAGGAAAACCAACCTATTTGCTTCTTTCTCCCGACTTCGATCAAGGCTAGGCGGACTGGCTGAACTTTCGGCTTCTTGACTCTGCGGCGAGTCTAGACGACCGTTCTGGTCACCCATTATGGGTTCAATGTCGCCTGAATACAGAGGAACTCTTGAGTTGCAATGAGCACCTATAAACGCAACAGGAAAAAGGCATAACCTTTGTCACAGTTCATAAAACATATCTATATGAGACAATAGTGAGGCATTAACGCATAAATACATATTTCAGAAGCTTTGGCCAGTGGATACTTCAGGGGCGGTTATCAATCTCCTGTATAGGAAGGGGTTCCCCTACAGGTCAGCCCTACAGGCGCGGGAACTGATGCCCGCGATATATGAGGCCAAGCTGGTGACCGGACTCCTGTCTATTGAAGACTGTGGTCCGATCTGGCAAGTTTGAGGCATTAACGCATAAATACATATTTCAGAAGCTTTGGCCAGTGGATACTTCAGGGGCGGTTATCAATCTCCTGTATAGGAAGGGGTTCCCCTACAGGTCAGCCCTACAGGCGCGGGAACTGATGCCCGCGATATATGAGGCCAAGCTGGTGACCGGACTCCTGTCTATTGAAGACTGTGGTCCGATCTGGCAAGTTTGGCCATATCGGGCACGGCAGTTGGGCAGCAGTTCCCCACTCGACGAGTCGAGCGGCGCTGCCCGTTTGAGCCGCGCTTCCCAGACTTTCATTAATCGCGAGAAGGGCGCTCTCGCCTGTGCGGGCTCTCGTTAACAATGGCCCGCACAGCGAGTGGGAGATTGATAAATACCTCCCCAGATGATGCTTCCTTCAAAACCTCGCAAATCTACTCTCTCACTCTCTATATACCTATCATCTCATTCTCTGACTAAGAGACGCGAGCACACTTTGCTTCCTTCAATTAACACGTTCCGGACCGCGAAATCGCGCGCGGCGAAAAAGAGGGTACTTTCAGCCGTTCCAACAAAGGGACCTTAACTCGTAGATTGTGTGCTACATCTGTTATCAGCATGTCAGATAAAATACCCAGAGTTCTGAGTGAATTCGAAGTGTTTGAATTTTTTCGTCTGAGAAGGACTTTCGTGCTTTACTTGAAAGAGAGGAATAAGAACTCAGGTTCTAATTGTATCCAGAAGTATCTATGTTGTACGCGATACACATCATTATTGAAACTACGGTTTTCCTCTCTGTATTCAAAGCTAAGAAAAGCTGCGACGTCGCACGCGTCGTTTGCGTTGCCGCACTTCGTTGCAACTGATGTTGATTTGTCCTTATATCCCCTGAACAAATAAGGATGGTACAGCTCTACAGACCCTTTCGAAAAGTAAGAGCTTAGTTAGGCCTTTGACTTGATAACCTTGGACAAAAAGAAAACCTCCTCTAAATGTTGAAAAGATCCTTCAAAGATGCGTGCTGCACCATGTGCAGCACCGGTCCGAAACGTGTTAATAAGTTTACGAATGAGTTATAATGCGCTCTAATTGATTTACTACTAGGTTTTTAGATGAACATGTTAGATCTCGTTCAAACAAGGCAAGTTGGAACATGTTCTTTTCACGAATTACCATTAGTAATTTACCAAAACGCGGTAGAACGCATTTATGAACTTGTTAATCAGATGTAAGCGTGCTCGCGTCTCCCAGTCTATCCGATCTGCGTTGGTGCAATCCTTTGACGTGCCCTCTGAAAGGAGATACGAGACTGTATACATATCACAAGCCGCCCTTTCGTATCACAAACCACCCCTGAGGACGAGTGCTTACGCAGGTGTGCGGTTGCATTGCAGCTGCACTGCACACTGCAATGCAACTGCATCCGTACAGTCGCAGCTCCTCCCGCTGACATGACGATGGGGACGAGCAATTCGAAACCCGTCCGCTCCTTGAAGAGAGGGTCCTCAAGAACCAGGTTTTTTTTTTTGGGAGTTTAGAACAATTTGGACTTTACAACTGTAATCAGGGCCACCACGGAAAGGCCCCAGAATGGCAGAAACATGAGAAGCGAAATTTTGCCCGGACGCTGCCTTTGAAGGCAGCGTCCAGACAGATCTGGACCTATGGGGTTTTTACATGGAAAGTACTTTTAGGGCCCTAACTAAGACACTGCCCAAGCGGCAGCGCAGGTAGTGCTCTAACGGCTGAGATATTCCCCTCGAAACTGGACCCCGCGATCGTATTCGCATGGATTCTAACAGCTTCGCGCCAGGATCCACGCTTTGCGCCATGAATCCATGCGAAGTACGATCGCGGGGTCCAGTTTCGAGGGGAATATCTCAGCCGTTACAGCACTAACCGAGCTGCCGGTTGGGCAGTGGTTTAGTTCGGGCCCCATTGTGTCCAGACTTGCCTGAACGCTGCCTTTAATTTAATCTCTGACTGCCGACACGTATGGCTATGTAGCAACATGCAATTACGTGTTGCTCAGTGATGGCAAACATCACATTGCCGCCAACATGCTAGCATGCAGACGACAAGTTGTTGCAAGTTGCCGACACATTAGACACGTGCCGCAGTCAGAGATGCAAACCAAAGATAGTAGCAGTCGTAAAGTAGTATCAGTAAGGCCTCGGGCAGAGTTCACGCGATTTGTTCGTCGCAATTCAATCGCTACAGACAAGTGTAACAACATCATTGCATGCCAATCTTCCTGCATTTCGGTTGTAATAGTTTTCCAACACGACTAATCGTGACTAACTATCACAACCGAAATACAAGAAGATCGGCATGCAATGAACTCGTAACACTTGTCTTGTAGCGATTGAATTGCGACGACCAAATCGCGTGAACTCTGTTCGAGGCCTAAAGCATAAACAAGTCATAGCAGAAAACCTTCAACTAGTCAGGAAATTCTGGAATGGGAAAAGAGAGCGACGAATACAAAGAAACAAGAAGAAAAAACACTTACGTTCATTGCCAAGGCAATTTAGTAACGCTTCCGTAAATCCAGAGTTAAAGTGGATAAGTGGAAAGAATAAGAGAAAGAAATGGATAAGCCATTCGAAGTGGTGAGTGGAAACAAGTGAGCAGTGGAAGCGCAAGTCATATGGTGCTAAGCATGGTGCACCAGTTAAAATTTATATATATACATATATATATTATATATATGTAAATATCAGTGGCGTACCGAGGGGGGGGGGCGAGGGGGGGCGCGCCCCCCCCCCCCCGAGAATGGGTCGCGAAATTTTTGAAAGTTACTTATATGGGTTATAAAAGGTAAATATATATATTATGACTTATAATAAGCGGCTTAATCTGAAGTTGTGTGGAGTTTGTCCGTTACGAAATTACAGTGAGGAATGATTTACGATACTAAACATCATGTGAGGTTAAGATAGCGAGTATGGTTCATTTTTAACTACGGCTCACTTTGGAATAACCCGAACAATGATTTGAGAGACAAGCTCTCAAAAAGTGAGTTTACCACGGTTCACGATGCCAGTGCGAACCTCTGCGAAGCAGAGGTGAAGCACTGGTATATATATATATATATATATATATATATATATATATATATATATATATATATATACATATACTAGCTGTCGTACCCGGCCCTGCCCGGGATAACATCACTTAGGGTTCACTGTCTTTGGATATATGTGACACTCAAAGCAGTAGTGTATCATTGAAGTTTGTTTGCAAAAATAAAAATAGAATGTGTACACTTTTACTCAACAGCATTGTCTCTCTTCTTTTTGAAACATGGAAGACGTGAAAAAACTTGAAGAGCAAGCATTGCGATATAGGTGGAAGAACGTTCGAATAATGTAGCGCCCATTGCTATCCTGAGGATCATTTTTCCTAGTACTTCGCCGCTAATCGGTTATTCTGTTTTAACTCCCGCACTCTACCCTCCTCTCCCGTACTACGACAAAAGTAAGTGCTTCTTTGACTGTTCTTGCTTTAGAGAGCGAATACCTTTATAGCCAAAGCAACAGCCATTCTACCACGTTAAATATATGTAATCCACAACTTATGGCCATTTGGATAACAGATTAATGAAAAAAATCTCAAGGACTTCAGTCAATAAACAAAATTATGATGTAATTTCAGATTGAGAGTCACGCTCATGCGGCTGGAATTCATGCCGGAGGTTCCAACGCTAGAGTGTGGCACGCAATTTGAGACAGCTTGTAACTTAGCGATTGGCTCACATCTGCATCAAAAAAGGCTTTGACTTGCGTTAACAACACTACTACCTCGCACCGCAAAAGATGCATCTCGCAGTTTTAGACAGAATATATAGGATCTACATCTGAACGCTGTCGACCTTGCTTTGATGACGAAAGTTCACAATGGATCGTACTGCTCTTGTTTACATAAGTGTAGGAATGGTTCGGCAATAGCTGCTGATAAGCTTCATTCCCTTATAAGAGTGCACCAAATCAATAAATCGATAGAAGGACCCAGCGAATTGTCGAAAAAAGTATCCTATCTTTTGCGCCGTGGCTTGTTTATAAGGAAACAAAATTCAGCCTCTTTGGTTCACAAGGAGTCTATAAGCCACAAACATCCGAACAAACACGGTACAGTGTTTGAGTTTTATATATATATAGCAGTGGCGTACCCAGGATTTCGGCTCGGGGGGGGGGGGGGCGCGACAAAAAATTTTTTCTAATGAAGGTGCGTGGCGTCAGCCACGCACTCCGAAAAATTTTTTGGGACGTTTCCCAAGATTTTTCCGGGCCCCTGGACCCAAAATTTTGGGTAGAGGAACGAACGCCTCAATTAGGCATTGCCTCCGCGGGCTGCTGGTCCTTTCATCCTACCGTTGTGCATCGTGTTAGGACCAGTAGTCCGCGGAGGCGGCGCCTAATTGAGGTGTTCGTTCCTCCACCCCAAAATTTTAAAAAAAGGGGGCGTGGCGGCAGCCACGCCTCCGAAAAAAATCTTTTTACAAGGCTAATTTGAATTTTTAAAAATTTTTAAAAATTATTTTAATTATTTACAAGTAAAAACAAGTCCTCTCCACATTTTTATAATACATTTAAGTAACTTTCAAAAATTTCGCGACCCATTCTCGGGGGGGGGGGGCGCGCCCCCCCCCCCCGCCCCCCCCCTCGGTACGCCACTGATATCTTATATATAAAGCTGAATGTCTGTTTGTCTGTCTGTCTGTATGTCTGTCTGTATGTCTGTCTGTGTGTACGTATGTTCCGAATAGAAAATTCCATTTCTGAACCGATCCGGACCAAACTTGGCACACATACACTACGGGCCCCGGCGGGTGTCATAGGCTACTTTTCGTCATCGATCGATATCGATTTTTATCGATTTTTTTGCTGAGTTCACCTACGGGGCTGGGAGTTGGCACAGGGGGGTAATCGAGCATGGGGATTCCGAATACAATATTGGTTTTCAGGATTATCGATTACTTTTATCGATTTTATCGATTTTTTTGCAAAGTTTGAGCTACGGGGCCTGAGTTGGCACAGGGGGGTAATCGAGCATGGGGATTCCGAATACAATATTGGTTTTCAGGATTATCAATTACTTTTATCGATTTTATCGATTTTTTTGCAAAGTTTGAGCTACGGGGCTGGGAGTTCGCACAGGGGGGTAATCGAGCATGGGGATTCCGAATACAATATTGGTTTTCAGGATTATCGATTACTTTTATCGATTTTATCGATTTTTTTGCAAAGTTTGAGCTAGGGGGCTGGGAGTTGGCACAGGGGGGTAATCGAGCATGCTGATCATCCCCAAGGGGGGTGATCAGCATGCTCGAACACCCCTGTGCCAAATTCCAGCCCCCTAGCTCAAATTTTCAAAAAATCGATAAAATCGATAAAAGTAATGGACGATCTTGAAAACTAATATTGTATTCGTAATCTGCATGCTCGATTACCCTCTGTGCAAACTCCCAGCCCCGCAGGTCAAACTTTGCAAAAAAATCGATAAAATCGATAAAAGTAATGGACGATCCTGAAAACTAATATGGTATTCGGAATCCCCATGCTCACTTCCCCCCTGTGCCAACTCCTAGCCCTGTAGGTGAACTCTGCCAAAAAATCGATAAAATCAATAAAAGCAATCGATAATTCTGAAAACTAATATTGTATTCGGAATCCCCATGCTCACTTCCCCCCTGTGCCAACTCCTAGCCCTGTAGGTGAACTCTGCAAAAAAATCGATAAAAATCGGTAAAATCGACATCGATCGATAACGAGAAGTGGACTGTGACACCCGCCGGGGCCCGAAGTGTATGTGTGCCAAGTTTGGTCCGGATACGGCGGAGCCGGGTAAGCCAGCTAGTATAGATATAAAGAATCGTAAGCGCAATTCAAAAATGTGCAAATAGCGGGAAACTGCGTGGCGGTCCTAGCGCGCCGATGCAATCTAGCGCCTTTGATTACTGGTTCACTAGTCTAATACATAAAGACTCGGGTACTATTCCAGTATACCGACCCCAAAAATTAAAAATCTCGGATTTCGCTCAAACTTGGTATAGGGGGGTTATTCGATCCGCTGATGCCGAATATCATATCGATTCCGTGCGATAGCGCCATTTTCCGGGGGTACGGTGGGTATACGGTAGGGGGTCAAAATCACAAAATTCTCAAACTTGGTGCAGGGGGGTTATTCGACATGCTGAACACGAATATGATATCCATTCGTTACGGTAGGACCTCATTCCGGGGTTACGGTGGGTATACTGTAGGAGGGTCTAATTCACTGCTTTCTACACCCACCGCCGCGCTCGATACACCCTGCGGCGGCTTTTGCCTAAGCAAAGCAGGGGAAGGAAATTTCCGACGTGTGACTAAGATTTCAAGCCCTCAATCTCGATCTAGCGGTGGTATTGGTAATGTATACCCAACGTAACGTCGGAATGAGGCACTATCGTAACTAATAAACATCATAATCGTGATCAGCATGTCAAATAACCCCCCTACACGAAGTTTCAGCGGATATCGTGATTTTGCCCTTACCGTATACCCACCATAACCCCGGAATGAGGAGCTACCGTAACGAATGAATATCGTATTCGTGTTCAGCATGTCGGATAACCCTCTCTTACCGAGTTTCAGAGAATTTTGTGATTTTGACCCCCTACCGTATACCCACCGTAACCCCCGGAAAATGGCGCTATCGCACGGAATCGACATGATATTTGGCATCAGCGGATCGAATAACCCCCCTATACCGAGTTTGCGAAATCCGAGATTTTTAATTTTTGGGGTCGGTATACTGGAATAGCGCCAAGGAAGCGATGTGACATATCGCCCTCGCTGGTGCAGACTCTGCGGCGCGATTTCTATCACTTTCGGCGATGTCGTGGGCGAAATCGTCACTAGAGGTATGCCCGTCTAAAAAGTGCTCGCGATGGCACGCGATTTGTCGCCCCTATAAACAGGCATGAATGCGGCGGGCCCACTCTTCGACATACTGGAGCGCGGGGGGTCAAGAACATATGCCCGGTGGAGTAATAGCGCAGCGTTCGAAATCGCGTAAGGTATGCCCGATGCCTTTGGCCTAAAGGCACCTTCCACACAGATCCTCAGCTTTGTTTTAATCGTTCCGCGGCCTTCTCATGTTCCTGATTCTGAATCTAATATATAAAGTATCGTAAGCTGCATTTAAAAACCATCGAATGGCGGGAACAGCGATGCGGTCGTGAAGTGCGCGGATGCAATCTGGCACGTTTAATCACTGGTTCACTAGTATAAGGTCAAGAATCCGCGCAAACCCCGAAAATCACCGTTTCGGAGAAGAACTCGCAGGCCGGTTCTCCAGAACGGTGATTGGATGAGCGCCTACGGATGGGCGGGCATGGATGGGAGGGCGGTGCGTCTGAGGGTCCTCGTGCATCATCGTTATCCCGGAGCGATTTTCTCGATCTGCGTCGCGACTTGAACATTGGCTTGATAGGAGGCCCTACTATGATATGCTGTCAAAAACTCAAGACCTTCAACTTAGGGTGGACGGTGCCCTCAATGACTTTGATTCTCCCATTCAGATGTCGACAAATCGATGAACTGATGTAAGGGTCCAGGAAATCGTTGTGAAAAATATCTTATGACAGTCGCCATACCTCGCACATAGGAAAGCAATTTTCAGCCTCACCTGTTCACTAATCTAATCTATATATAAAGGAAAGTATCTATCTATTTATATCTATCAAATAATATAAATCTATATATAAAGAAAGGTAAGCGCAATTCAAAAATCGGCAAGTAGCGGGAAACCGCGTAGCGGTCCCGATTGCGAACGCTCTTGCAAATAGCACCTTTAGATAATTGGTACTAGAACAAATCTGTATGGCGAACACACATGTAAAGAGATGCAAAGCCTCTGAGTTCTAGACATAAAATTAAGAACTTGGCTATTGTATTAGGCCCCGGGCAGACTTCACGCGATTTGATCGTCGCGACTGAATCGCGAGGAGACAGCTGTTACAACATCATTCCATGATGATCAACTTGCATCCGGTTATGATACTTTTCCAGCCCGAAATTTTTGAATGTGAAATGAAAATGAATGGAAATGTCGGGCGATTGAGTCTCGACGATCAAATCGCGTGAAGTATGTCCGGGGCTTTAGGCCTAAGGCCCCGGTCAGACTTCACGCGACTTAATCGTCGCGACCAAATCGCCAAGATTTCCATTCATTTTCATTTCACATTCAAAAATTTCGGTCTGGAAAAGTATCACAACCGAATGCAAGTTGATCTGCATGGAATGATGTTGTAACAGTTGTCTCGTAGCGATTCAGTCGCGACGATCAAATCGCGTGAAGTCTGCCCGGGGCCTAAGGCATACCTCCAGCGATCCAGTCGTCACGATTTTCGGTCGCTGCGACCAGACTGCCTGGGCGACCGTTCATTGCGTCAAAATCGTCCATCGCTCGACTCCTGGGCATACCCGTAGCGATTTTGTGAACGCTCACACACCACACCGCATTATACGCAGTTTTGGAAAACTTGCGCTAAATTCTCTGAAGCGCATTTATTCGAGAGGTTTCGAGCAGAATGTGGCGCCATATGCCTTAAGAGGACATTACATAAAACAAGAAAGGATATGAATTCACACACATCCCAGTATTTACCAATGTCTACTGGCGCAAGTTTAGTAGTTACATCTGCGACGAAATCGACTACTTCATAAAATTTTGAGTTCTCTTTCAGTAACTGGTAGGCATATAGGTTAGCTTTGTTGTAAAATCATTCTTATGTCTTTTTAGAAAATTCTGAGCAGGTTATTTCAACAACGAGTGCTGGGCGAGCTCTTGTCTGCAATCTGCGAACGCTTGTACAAATCATTCAATTCATTCTCTGACTAAAAGACACCAGCAAGCTTTGCATACGTTTAATTAACAAGTTTACGAGCAAGGTTCTTGGTGAGACATGTTCAAGCTCGTAAAACAACGCGAGTTCGATTAAGTTTATGCACGAATTCCCAATCGTGAATTACCAAATCGCGTAAAAACGCAATAGCAACTTATAAACGGAGCGTACGCGAAGCGTGCTCGTGTCTCTTACTCAGACAACGAACGATTATATCTAAGGCCCGTATGCACGTACATCCCTGCGGGGAGGGGAGGGGATCTGAGAGGGGAGGCGTCATATTTCGCTACTCTGTATATCTTTCGCGTTCCTTCTTTATCTGTGATATGAAGGTTCTCATACCCTAATACCTGCGCATAATGGCCAGGTTACTGCCATACAAGATTAGATTTTCACAACTTTGTGTGATCCCCTGGGGATCCCCAGGGGATTACCTCTCATTTTCAAAGTCATTTATCTTCCTACAAAAGCAATGAAAATGTTCTAAATTTGTGCTGAGGGTATGATATGGTACTGCTAAACATGTCTATAGTAGAAGTAAGGGAAATCTCAAGATATCGAAATTTTTGATGAACCGCTGCTCGCGAGCCAGGGATTATCGAAAAATAGATAATCTTCAGATTCCATTTCTTCTGTCAAAAACATGCTTAGCAGTGCCGTAGTATATCCTCAGTACAACTTTACAGCATTTTCGTGGAGTTTTCAGAAAGATAAATGACTTTGAAAATGAGAGGTGATCCCCTGGGGATCCTCAGGAGATCACACAAGTGGCAAAAAACCAATCTTATATGGAAGTAACCTGGCATCTATTATGCGTACGTATCAGGGTATGAGAACCTCCATATCACAGATAAAGAAGGAAGAAGAAAAGTATGCAGAGTAGCGAAATATGACGCTTCCCCTCTCACAAGGGAACGATCCCAACTTAAGGTGGCGAATTGGAATAAACCGCATACCATTAGATGCGTCTTGATGAGCTGATTGCAAATCTGCCTTCCATATCTGCGACAACGTTATCTGGAAGAAGTTATGAAAGGTTAAAAACGTGAAGTAACAAGGATTTTAGTGCATAATTCGCTTCAAAATCCAACTTGGGAGTGTATGACTAGCATGATATTGAGTTTACTGATTTCAAGGAAGCTCACACTCTAAAGAAACACAAATAAGTGTTTTTGAACAACTAATTTTCGAGGTATTGCGCTGTATATCTGCCAAATTTGACTTTTCATTGGTCATAGCTTTTACCAAAGAACTTTAGCTTTTTTTTAGCTGTTCAAAAACATTTATTTGCGTTTCTTTTAGATGTGAGCATTCCGTGAAATCAGTACACTCAATATGATGCTAGTCGTGCACTTTCAGGTTGGATTTTAAAGCAAATTATGCATCAAAACCCCCGTTACTTCACGTTTTTAACCTTTCATAACTTCTTCCAGATAACGTTGTCGCAGATATGGAAGGTAGATTTGGAATCAGCTCATCAAGACGAATCTAATGGTATGCGGTTTATTCCAATTCGCCACCTTAAGTTGGGATCGTTCCCTTGTCAGATCCCCTCCCCTCCCCGCGGGGATGTACGTGCATACGGGCCTAAGCGACCAAGATTGCACATCTATTCTTTTCACTTCGGAAATTATAGCAAGTACATTCGAGATTCGGTCACTACTTGTAGTCAGTTAACAAGAACACGAAAAGATTACATTGCGAGAACAGTAAATGCTGACGGAGAGGGCGAGGCAACATGTGGGAAACATTCCATATTATAAAACTCGCATGTGTTGTTTTCAAGGACTAATAGTAGAAAATGTTCGATGACCATCCTTCTCCCATGCAGAGAGGAAGCGCTTGTGTGAGATGGAATAGTCCTGAACGAAATTTGCATTGGCAAAAAAATACAAAACTTCATAGCAAACAAGAAGCTATCCGAGCGATTCGCTCATCGCTGGGTCGGACCTAGCGACGGCGACATCGCTGAGTTTCAGCGATGTCGCGACGATTTCCCTGCCGAGGTATGCCCGTCCAAAAACCGTCCGCGATCTGTCGCGGCGTCAATCTAACACAGACGCGGCAGGACCCCACTGTTGCGCTGCGGACTCAGAACATATGTCCGATTTGGAGTTTGCGACGCGACTGGGATCGCGGGAGGTATGCCTTAGGCCTTACACAGCCACAACGATCTCAAATTTAAGTGAACAGGCCCATGAGGCTGAGTGACAGTAGCCTTTAATCATCTTGCTCCAAGCTGTTAACACCATATCAACTATGGAAACGCAACCGAAAACCGCGCGCGAAGGTCTTCACTACTTTTCAAACAAATTTTAAGGTAGAATTTGTTTGGAAAAAATGATGAACAAGTAATCCAAACTCCAACTGATTCGTGATTATGCCTAATCTTGAGATTCCAAAAGATTCATTTTTAGATCGACAAGCCATTTTTTAAGAAAAGATGCCTACAAACCCTAGAATTCAAATTTTAGGGTTTTAGGTGGGAAAATTATAGGTCAATTTCTCAGCAAAAAGAAAACAAACTATTGATGACAAAGACAGACCGCAACCAGTTCCGTTGAAGCATACGCCACCTCACGAACTCCAAGGCAATCAATAACATAAAAAATCGAGCACTTGTATTTCATCGATAACACTACGTTCAATGTGCGGTGCACTACGCAATATCACACTGTACTGACAATGAAAAAAGTGAAAAACAGGTGATAATAGAAATGTAATATAATGTGATTAGAAAGCGCACTATTATATTAGACAAAGCTGATAGTGAGACTATGTATGTATCATCGGCTTCCAAATTCTGTGGAGATGGAGTCTTGCCAACTCACAGCGCGGCGGTTCTTACTAGCGAAAGAGTTTGAAATGCTATAACGTGGAGGTTCAACAAGTTTATTCGCAATATCAGGCAAAGTCTGCAATACACCACCACACGAATCTGGGAGCCGATTATACATTCTTGATCGGAGCAATGTCACCAAAAGTGCAAGGTACACATGCTGTTTTTAGAAATCACTAGCAATTTACATAAAATAAGACTAACGGCATGATGCTGGTACTAATCTATCTATACATATAGGTAAAAAGCTGAGTGTCTGTAGTTACTTAATATGGTCATCATAGAAATTTTTGTGTGTCGACCAACAGGGACAGACTTTGTATATATAAGTTCGAGACCGTCCACCCGGCAGGCTACTTTTCGCGGCGAAATTTTCACTCCTACTGATTCATCGATTTTGAAGAAAAATGAATTTTGATCATATTATCAAACCTCTTCCAACTTTCCCGCAAACCATAGCTGTAGGCCTCATTTTCATCTCACGATGAGGGAAATGCGGCAATTCAGGCGATGTGGTCAGAAGTTAACTATACTGTGTTACACGAGGAGCAGAAGAAAATCGAAATGCAGATAAGTGTTGGTCTCTGTTGAGCCAGTTGAACCAAAAGTGCGGGCAAAGCCGGATGCCAGCTAGTCATCTTATGATGAAAACAAATCAAGCCGGACAAAGACGTGAACAACACCATATCAGGTGCAGATAGTCGTACGGAGAACAACAGCAAACCAAGCATGCTTACATAGTTCACATAGTCTAAATGCCAAATAAGGAGAAAACTTTAAGGAGAAAGTAGCTCGGTCTAGTAGCCTAGCGAGCGGCCAAAATTTTGCACAGACCGCCGACGCAGCTTACCCAAAAGCAAGCACAATCAACAAGCGATCGATGGTTGTCGATTTCGGACAAGGAAGATGAATCCCAGAAACGGGCACCCAGGTCGAGCGCGCACGCTAGGCTGCGAATACGACCATGACGTCATGCCGCGCCCCGAGTAAAGCGCCGCGCGACGGCTTCAACATTCGTCGCGTGCTGATACTCAGCCAACAAAGTGCTGGTGGTCGTGCGACGAAAAATGCTGAGCTGGCATCAAGCCAATATTCCGATGTACCAAGCGTTAGGCCCATAACGTGCAAGCAACATATTCAAAGCTTTCTTTGTGATTGCGCCATTTCTTTCGTTTCGTCGAATCGAATTATATATAGGCCTAACTTCCGATCACGTTTTTGCCGCCGGGAATGCTCGCGGCACATGATTGTTGCGAAGGGACCGGCCATACGGGATCGGCCATTTCCTGTGACTCCTGCGATTCCCGTGATTCCCGCACAGTTTAGACGTTGCTTAAATGAGCGCGTGTTGCGTAAAACAACACGCAACACGCAACACGCGCTCATTTAAGCGGCGTATAAACTGTGCGGGAATCACAGGAAACACAGGAGTCGCAGGAATCGTAGGAATAGCAGGAACAGTATGGCCGATCTCTACTATTCCTGTGATTTCTGCAATTCCTGCGATTCCTGTGGTTCCTGCGGGTCCCGCAACATTGTATATTGCGAAAAAAATGTACAGTCGAGTAGCTTAATATAGTGTCCCTGCAGACGCGACAACGCTGGGGCGTCAATAAATGCCTTGCGAGTTCCCGAGCTAGTGTTTTCCAGTGTTTTCTTTGCTTATTTCATGCTCTTTAGTTGATTCGTTGCTAATAAAGGGGAAAAGGGTAAGTTAAAGAGTAGTTTCTGTTTTCTGAGAAGTTCTATCATCGCATATTCACAGATATACACGTGGAAGCATTTCGCGTCAGCTTCTTGTCTATATTTTTTTGTCATTTCCTTTTCTTCTGTCACTTCTTCTTTCAAACCTCTTCCTTCTTGTGAGGCGTTTCTTTGAACGCTAGTGCTTGTCTTGCAGCAACTTCGGCTTTCATCCATAAGAAATAGCATTTTGATCAAGTACTTCATGTGATAAAGACAATAAGTCAATCGTAAAAACCCACTAGCGTTCAAAGATACCTCACAAGAAGAAAGGGACATGAAGTGACAAAAAAAAAGACAAGAAGCTGACGCGAACTGCTTCCACGTGGATATCTGTGAATATGCGATGATAAAACTTCCCAGAACAGAAACTACTCTCTAACTTACCCTTTCCTTCTTTATCAGCAACGAATCACCTAAAAAGCATGAAATAAGCAAAGAAAACACTGGAAAACACTAGCTCGGGAACTCGAGGCAATTATTGACGCCCCAACGTTGTCGCGTCTGCAGGGACACTATATTAAGCAGGAAATCTACTCGACTGTAAAGGCTACTGCATGACCAAGGCGCAGAAGCATTATCATTTGAGCGGACGCGGACGCGACGCGCACGTATCCTCACCATTGTCAACCCTGCGCCTCATGCGCTCTGAGGCTAAAAAAGCCGCATTCGTGCCCGACGATATTGCGCCTTCGTCATGTAGCAGCGTATATGTTGAACTTCGCAAAGCGCTTTTTAGTGCCGCACATCGGTAGTGGAGGAATCAAGTGGAATAATATGGCCGGTCCCGAAGGGGGGGGGGGGAGGGGGAGGAAGCGGAAATCGTACACAGTCTGCCCCAATCCCCACCAGGCCAAAATGGCATGGCGGGAGTCCGCGTCGCGAGGGTATCGCGTCACGTCTTCGGCTAGATAGTCTGCTCTCTCCTCAATCCCTTCGCTCACTGAGACAGCGCGCGTATGCAGCGCAAACCTATAGCGCTGCGAGCCCGCGGAATGAGCCGACGGCTCGGCCTGATCCCGATTGGGGCAGACTGTATGGCGCTCAACGCCCCGCGCCCTCTTTTGCCTCATGAGAAACTAATGGTCATGATCTCCTCTGCTTGCAATTATATATTTGTTTACTATACATATGTATCATTATATGTATACTAGCTGGCTTACCCGGCTCCGCCCGGCCCTGTCAATGCTATGATTAAGGTTTTATCCCTATCCCTGTAGAAGCTTTCATTGTGCCTACTTCTACATGCAATTCCCTATTCCCGCTGTGTTAGTAATTAGCATGCCCACCTACCTCCCTCAACAACCCCAGCCTAGCTCAAACTTTGCAGAAAAAAAAGGAATAAAACCGGTAAAAGTAAGGATAATTCTGAAAACTGATGGCGTTATTCGGCTATCAGTGCCCTGAAATTTTTTGTTGTGCGTTTTGCTCAGACTTGGCATGTGGGGGTTGTTCAAGCCGCTGATGACGAATATGGTAGTCCGCGTGACAGCGGGTAAAAATCATGAACCTGCCTGAAAACTTGGCAGGAATTACCTAAAGTGCTGTTTCAAGAATATCGTGCTCAATCCCCACGATAGAGGCAATTCGTGTGGTATAAAAGTTTCCCACGACCGTAATGCTTTCCCTTATAGGACCACTGCCGCGCGCGATACACCCTTGGGCGGCTTTTGCCTAAGCAAGAGCAGGGGGAGGGAGATTTGCCGCGTGCATTACGCGTTGGGACAGGTTATCAGGATGGCGCTGGAGACCGCCATGCAAAACGAACGTTTCCCCATCTTTTGAATATCTGGGATCTAAATTGGCCCGAAGGCGAAATGTCCATTCAAACCCTGCAAATCACCATAATTTCACTATTGCGTTATGACAGCGAGCAAGCATCATATTCATAAGCGATATACTTGTGAACCGTTACATGTAAGGTTTTGAGCAAATCTGGAACTTCGACCCATATACACCCACCGTAACCCAAGAAAATGCACTATCCTGCGAAATCAGCATGTATTCATGTTCAGCGCGCTAAATGACCACCCTAGACGAAGTTTAAAACAAATCTATGTCTTCGACCCCATGCCATATAACCTCCACAACTCTATGAAAAGGTCCCAATATGCAGAGAGAGAGAGAGAGAGAGAGAGAGAGAGAGAGAGAGAGATGATATTCGTAATTAGCATCGAATAAGCCATATGGACCGAACTCCAGCCAAATCCATGATTTTGACTTTTTACCGTACACCTATCGTAACCACACGGGAAGACATTCTGCGGAAAAAGTGTGATATCTGTAATCAGCATGTAAAGGGCCGGGCATACTTCACGCGATTTCAGTCGCGACGCATTTGGCAAATCGCCAGAAGTCTTCGGATTAGCAAACTGCACATGCATAATGTGTATAACTTAAGTAAACTGATGAAATGCCCTATCGTCTGCACATTTATAATGTGCTTACAAAGAGTTATGGACACCTGAAATATTGCCAAATCGTGTCGCGATTGAAACCGCTGGAAGTATGACCAGCCGTTAAGATAGGGAGACGGCCCTTCTGAACCCACCGTCCCCTACAGTAATCTAGAAATAGGACGCGCGCATGCGCTGCGATGACTGCGGACGAGTGCTCCGCGAAGGGCTCGTATTTTCGAAAATCACCAACTCCTTTCGTGCGGCTGTTGCATTATGGAATGTAAGCCAACCACGCTGATTTCAACCAAACACAGCTACCATCCTCTGAATGTTTGGTATTCTGAGCCCTACTTCCCAGCAGGTATGTTTATGATTTCCCTACTTCCAAGCAGGTATGTTTATGATTTATGGGACATTTCCGAAATCTTTTCATCTCCATGATTCATAAAAAACTTCTCATGAATCTCTTTTGAATTCTTTCGAACTTTGTTTTTTTTTGCTTCTTTTTATATCCCTTGTGTGTGCGATCCTTATAACCTCGTGCATCGTCACATCATATTGCTAATGTGAGCTGCTTGATGTTATTGAGGAAAGCCCACGTAATCAAAGTGTGTGTAACAACTCTTCATAAAGGCCAATTATAACTTAAATTTGTGATCTACGCTGATTCGTTATCAAATGCATATCTCCTTCTGACATTTCAGTGCATCTCTGTAGCTTTCCAAGAAAATTATCATCTCCTTAAAATTCTCATTCCTAGTAAAATTTACGAACGTGCATTTGTTTTACGCTTTAAAAAGCATGATGCGTGCAGCAAAGGAAAGGTCGCTACCAAAGTCAATCTCCATGTAGATTACGCTACCAAATGAAGGTGATGCATTTTTATTTGATTGCGTTTTTGATATGGACGGTGTAAGAAAAACTTCATAAAAAACTAAAAACTCATCATAAAAAAACGTATGCTTCCCTACTGGCATGCATGTAGTGCACATTTCAACTGAATGTGACTAGATGATGCTGCAAGGAGGCAAACGTAGGAGAGTAGAATATGCAATCGAACTCACAAAGACCCAGGAGAGTAGAGCAAGCAATCGGACAAAAAAAAACCAGTAAAATAAGTCGAAAAAGACTTGAAAATGTCTTATAAGTCAAAAACATACCACCTTAGAAAGTAGCCGGCGATTTAAGTAGTGTAGAGTAGAGCGAATAACTTAAGTTATTGAATTCTAGGGAATTTGGGGGAATTAGGAATTTTCTAGAGAATTACTTCCAGAGTCTCATTGTGGAGTAGGTTACCAGCGATGTGAAACTCGTCCGCCTCCGCAGCGCCTCTGCCCAGGTCAGCTGCTCGCTCCCGCGAGCTAGCCAATCATGGAGTGACCTCTAATTAGCGCTGACCTCTTATAGCCGTCGCGATTAGGGCACGTTCAGAAGGGCCTACACCCCTTAAGATAGCCTTTATACATGAAGTCATCTACCACAAAAAATTTTGGGGCCCGGATAGCCGAATAGCGCCAAACTGATATCGAACTCGTAATCAGCATGCTCGATTACTCCATTGTGCAAACTCCCAGCCCCGTAGCTCAAATTTTGCAAAAAAAATCGATAAAACCGATAAATAATGGACGATTTCAAAAGCTAATATTGTAATCGTAATCTGCATGCTCGATTACCCCCCCCCCCCCATGTGCAAACTCCCAGCCCCGTAGCTCAAACCTTGCAAAAAATCGATTTAATCGATAAAAGTGATCGATAATCCTGAAAACTAATATTGTATTCGGAATCCCCATGCTCGATTACCCCCTGTGCCAACTTCCAGCCCCGTAGGTGAACTCTGCAAAAAATCGATAAAAATCGATAAATTCGATATCGATCGATGACGAAAAGTAGCCTATGACACCCGCCGGGGCCCGAAGTGTATGTGTGCCAAGTTTGGTCCGGATCGGTTCAGAAATGGAATTTTCTATTCGGAACATACGTACATACAGACAGACAGACATTCAGCTTTATATATAAGACTAGCGACCCTACGGGTCGCTAGCAAGCGGGTAGGGCACACCCATAAATAAACGTCTTTCATACCTATTATTTTCTCGAGTAAAATTTCAATTTATCAGTAAATGTATTGCCGCAACCGCTCAAAAGTAACATTTTCAGAGATATTTTCAATAGGAGGAAAGTGGACCATATCGTGCTAAATTTTGTTTTGCCCCAGTCATCGCTGTACAGCTACCTTTCGCAACGTCGCTCTCGCACTCACGCTTACAATCTCGAGGGAAAAATCGAATTCACCCAGAGCAAAAGCTCCCAAAAGCGAGATTTTCGAAGATTTTCTCAAAATTTGGCGGCAAAGTGGACCATATCGTGCCAAATTTTGTTTTGCCCCAGTCATCGCTGTACGGCTTTCTTTCACAACGTCACTCTCGCACTCACGCTTACAATCTCGAGGGAAAAATCGAATTCACCCAGAGCAAAAGCTCCCAAAAGCGAGATTTTTGTGGATTTTCTCAAAATTTGGCGGCAAAGTGGACCATATCGTGCCAAATTTTGTTTTGCCCCAGTCATCGCTGTACGGCTTTCTTTCACAACGTCACTCTCGCACTCACGCTTACAATCTCGAGGGAAAAATCGAATTCACCCAGAGCAAAAGCTCCCAAAAGCGAGATTTTTGTGGATTTTCTCAAAATTCGGAAAAGTGGACCATATCGTGCTAAAATTTTGTCTTGCCCCAGTCATCGCTGTAAAGCTTCCTTTCGCAACGTCACTCTCGCACTCACGCTTACAATCTTGAGGGAAAAATCGAATTCACCCAGAGCAAAAGCTCCCAAAAGCGAGATTTTCGAAGATTTTCTCAAAATTTGACGGAAAAGTGGACCATATCGTGCCAAATTTTGTTTTGCCCCAGTCATCGCTGTACGGCTTCCTTTCGCAACGTCATTCTCGCACTCACGCTTACAATCTCAAGGGAAAAATCAAATTCACCCAGAGCAAAAGCCCCCAGTACTCTGCGTTGATACCACTGCTT